AAATATGTTGCTCCTTAACAACTGTCAAATACACCTCTGCATATTAAAAAAATACAAATTTCTCGATCTAGATCACATTTATCTCACGATCACTAACGCAGCCCATATTTTTTGTTTTGTTTTGTAAATAAAATGTCACATTACAATCATGTTGTTGTGGGCTTGTTGGTTGAGCACACACAAACGGCATGCCAAGAGCACCAATGCTCGTTGGATGCACACACAACATCAGAAATCAACATAAGCAAGGTCTAAGTAAAAAAACACAACAACAAAAACATAAATATTGACATGCATCTCAATTGACTACAACGACAACGATGACAACAACACGACCCCAAAAACAAATAGTAATTATTTGTTACAACAACAGTCGAGCAACAACATGCATTTCAAAACAACATAATCGGCGAACAACCACACACACACACAGCCGGAATTATCAATTGGATACTCCCCTCGAAAAATGAAATTGTTTTATTCTGTGTTTAGATATAAATTTAGTGACATTTAACAATACAATTATATGAACAACAATTATTATGATTTATTTTTTTATGACTATAACTTCAAGATTTAAAGTAAAATGAGGGTGATATTATAAAATTGAAAATTGAAATTTTTCCAACCAAAGAGAAGACAACATTTCATAAATGGGATTCAGGACGATCAGCTGTTACTTTTCCATAGCAGCGACACGTACAATATATGACAAATACTGGACTATTCAAAAATTTTAATGTGGTGAAAGAGTAGATAAAACTTTAGGCTTGAAGAAAGAAGAAAGGGGCGAAGATTCTGAGTTTTCGTCCAACAGGCACGATTGGACTGACAAGGAGCCTCATGTAGAGGTCAACTCCACAACATTTCTAAAGCATTTAAATTAAAACCCAATAATTCCAAGCCATTTCAAGCCAATTCCACACTCAGGAATATTATGGACCAACTGCATAATATCTTCCCGAATATGATAGATTACATCGATGGATAAATGCTAGTTAAAAATCAGTTCAGTTCATCCGATTTGATATGAGGATTATCTGTCGGGTTTTGCCGACGGATGTATCCCCTCAGCCAAAAAATATTTTGACATTCGTATCTATTATTCCTCATGTTGAGCCTTTACGGGAGTGATTCCGAAGGAGTTGGCCAATATTGTCCAACTCCTCTCTGATATATGTCTGATATAAATATTATAACGTAACATACTTGGACTAATATCTCTTGATATGAGATATTTAATCATTATAAGAGAATGTTGAAATGTGCGTGAGGTGCGAGATCAAAATTGTTGGTTAGGAGGTATCAGAGGGAGTGCACAGTAAAATTCATTCACATCAGATCTCTTGTTAAGGGAAATATTAAGATATTAAGATTTGAATGGAATCGATAACTTGTTTCGCAAGTTATGATAGATTTAAATATTAAATTAAATTGTGATCGTTTGTAGGGGAGGTACCACAAGGGGTAGGCCGATGATAGATAATCTTCATCCTATTTCACATTTTATGAGAGATATAATTATTCAAAAATTTGACCCTTTGTGGGGCGGTACTAGAAAGAATGGTCCGATCGCTGCCATCTTGTTCTGATGAAAAAATTGAGATTTACAAAGTCTGAATGGAATCATAAGCTTCGTGGATATTCAAAATTTTGACCCTTTGTGTGGAAGGTACCAGAGGGAGTGGCCGATATATTCCATCTTCACACCAAACCTTGGGTTAATAAAAATATTGGGATGTGTGTAATTTGTAGACAATTGGACTCTTACATTATAAGCGTTATAATTTGTGGGGAGGGTACTTGATGGAGTGGACCGATATTGTTCATTTTCGCAGCTGAATTAGCACTGACCCAAATATTAGTATATGCAATTGTGGAGCAAAATCGGATTATCTTTTCTCATTCTGTGTAGTAAAATATTTTTTTTTTTTAAATTTAGACCTTTTGTAGGAGAGTTACTAAAGAGAGTGGACCGATATTGCCCATCTCCGATCTCGATCTAAGTTTGATAATAATATAACGATGTGCCAAATTTGGACCAAATCGGATACTCCCTTCGAGAATTATTATGCGCACAAGCCAGCCAGACGGACGGACGGACGAACATCACTGGATCGACTCCAAATGTCCTGAAACGGATTTGGTCCTAAGAGACCTGGGATCTAAGGGTTATTTCGATGAGGCATAAATAATCCTTCCCATGTGCATTTTTACACCCTCCGCTTTATGGAATATGGACGTTATATTACGATTATCAATCAGTTTGTAACTTCTCGAAATATACATTTTCGACCCAACAAAGAATATATATTCTTGATCCGCATAAAATGTCGATTTTGCAAGGATTTTACTCACATGCATTTTCGGTATGCAGGAATTTTGGTATTGAAAATGGGCTATACAGGTCTACTTATTTGGTGTAGGTCCCATATAACTGTACCGAAAGATTTAAGGTTTTTTATACCCTCCACCATTCTACAGATTAGCTTTGTCATTCCATTTGTAACTCCTCGAAATATTCATAATAGAGAAAGTATATATATATATATATATATATATATATATATATATATATATATATTCTGGATCAGCGTAAAATTCTAAGACGATCTAGCGATATCTGTCTGTCCGTCTCTTGCAATCACGCTATCACGTTGTAATCACGAACTAATTGAGATAGAAGAAAAAATAAAATTTTTCATGCATGCATAGTTTACCAGTAGGCAAGTTCGTAAATGGGCCATGTCGGTCCACGTTTTCGTATATTCCCCATATAACCGTACCTCCCGATATTCGGTATTTTCATGATTTTAGCGACATTATTTACAGGAATTATTTCAAATTCATGTTAAAAGTTCGTAATGGATACTACAGCCTATGGCAAACATTTTTATATGCAAGTCCACGTCTTCGTATAGGCCCCATATAACGGTACCTCCCGATAGTCGGTATTTTGATGATTTCAGCAGTATTTTTTACCGGAATCGTTTCAAATTTTGTAGCAGTGTTTGATCATCCGTTACCTCCCGCTCAACAGGTCAAAATTGTGTACACCCAAATGCAAAATGAATATCCGATTGGCACATCCCAATATTTTTACCTCAGGATCTAATGGGATATGTGGGACAACTCTTTTCCCTAAAGGGTGAAAATTTTGATTAATAATAACACCTATAAAATGAAAAACAAGAATCTCATGGTCTTCAAGTTTTGCATATCCTATGGATATTTAACATCCTGACAAAGGGTGTCCCATACATGTCCATGTTGCGATATAGCTCTCCATCTACTATACCATCAGATGCTTTAAGGGGTTTAAAGTCGTTAGAAAGCAAAAACCTGTCCTGCTAAAGTGATCCGAAACGAGTGCATTGGGGCATATTTTCAAAATGTTTTCATTCCTTCTTGTTGAAGGGTATTAGAAGTTGCACCCTACCAAATTTAATGAACTTTTTGCTTTTCACTTTTCAGGAAACCTTAAATTCATTTGAGAGTTATATCATTTGACATTTATCTACATGTATGTCCATACTAAGTACGTACAAACGTATGATGTATGAATGTGTGTGTATGTGTGTACATCCGTTGAAAAATAACAACACGTTGTGTACACTACGTTATGTCTTCTCCGTAATTGCATCCATACACAGAGTGCGACGTCTATGTCAAGTGTTTCTGTTTTTTTGTTGTTGTTATTTTCGATGTGAGCTTTCCACTCTGAGTGCGTGTGAGTGTGTGTGAACAGCACATGGAGGCCTAACTACCCCAACAACGACAATAACAGTAATGGCACCTGCCACCCTCACTCATTGTAATTATGCCCTTTTGCTAGGTGTTCTCTTGCCCTCATTTTTTTCTCTCTCTCTGTCTCTCACAAGTTTTGGCTGAGTTTTCTCTCTATCACACATAGCAAATTTCTGCTCTCATTGAATTTTATTTCTACATTATTTACTCAGTGTGAGGGCAAAGAGTCTAAGGCAGAGCAGAGACTGGTACAACCTGCATACATATGTACGTATGTATGTGGTACTTAGTTAGATACATTGTAGGTATATCTAAAACAAGAACAACAACAGAGAATTTGAACAGAATACAAACAAAAAGTTTTATCTAACGACATTAGACGTCGACTAGAGTCGTCACTAGAGTGTTTTTTTTTCGTCGGGGTTTATTGTGAAGGTAGTGGTGTTGGTGGTGGGCCCTAGCTGTCGATTTTCATTTTCATTCTTTGCCTCTCCGCACAAAAAACCATCTCTGTTATGGCAAGATACCAGCACCACTCATACGCACACAGATATGACTACGACGACGACGACGACAGCAACGTAAACTCATTGCAAACAAACAACAAAAAAAACGATGTCGACAACAAACACGAGCCAGAGCTAAACTGAACTGAGCAGAGCAGAGAAGAAGAGCACATCGGCGAGCCAAAAACAAAAAATCACATACAATTATTGCTCTACTTACCGTTTGGTCTAGTCGGGCCCAATATTCTGTTGTCGTCTGTCGTAGTTAACAGTTGTCGTGGTACGTTGTACGCTGCAGCTCCTCATCATTGTTTCGTTGTCCGTTGAACACGGGTGAAGAGTGTTTTGTTTTGTGTTTTCGTTTGCCAGTAGTCAACAACAACAGCACATATACACAAATACAACAACAACAGCACAGCTGAAGAAAGAAAAGCTAAAATTAAATTGCAAACAACAACAGCAAAAACAACCAGAAAATGATATAAAATTAAAGAGTATCCCCAAAAAATAAAAAGAAGAAGAAGAAGAGTAGAAGGAGGAGGAATACAACAAAAGTCAGCTGTTCAAGTTTTATTTCGAATTTTAATTTTTTGTTATTTAATTTTAATTGAAGAAACCACAACAACAACAAATATATTTTAACAAATAATGTGCTACCCTTAAATGAATCGAGAAAATATTTGCGTAAAAAATTAATAATTTATTTAAAAGTGTTTTATATTTGTTTTTATTCCCAACCAAAAAAAGGTGTTAACAAAATCAATTTCGGGTACAATCCCAAATTCAGTTTCTGTGCAAAAAAAATAATAATAATCCCTCAACAAAAAAAAATTTCCCCCATTAAATAATTAACATAACAACAAACAAGCAAAAATAATTAAAAACAAATCACTCATACGTCTGGTGGTGCAGAGCAACAAAGGAAACAAAACAAAGAAAAGAAAAGAAATTCGAAGGTGCAACGTTGTCGCATCGCTGAACGGAAAGCAAGATAACAACAACAGCAAAGAAAGGTTTGTGGATAGAAAAAAATTATATTGCCCATAGTGATAACCATCATCATCATCATCGTCCTCTTCCCCACGCCGTTCCTGGCCATCACTCATCATCATCACATATAATAAGAATTTATTTATTTGTGTGTGCCTCTGTTTGTTTGAGCTGACATTGCGGTTGCTTGTCTCTATTTCAATAATGGAAATGTTTAAAAAAAACAACAACAAAAACACAATTTTCTATTACGTAAAATTTAGTATTGTTTTCTCTCAAATGAACTAAATCGAATTGAATACCGCGGCGACATCGATTCTAAAATGCCATCAAATCAAAAACCAACCCAGAGCAGGTGGAGCCGGAGGGCATTCAACAAAACAGCAGCAACAGAAATTTTTACAAGACTAAACAAAAATTGTTAATTAATTTTTTTTACATTATTTAACAACAAAAACAGCTACCACAACAAATGAAAACTCGACATGAAGTGCAACAACCAAAAAAAAAAAAAAACAACCAAGTGTTCGGATTTTTTTTTACATTACATAATTGCAAAAAATTATGTGTTATTACTGTATTCTACAATATTTTTTAAAGAAAGCAAGAAAAAATTCTACGCAAACAAGAACAAGACATGTTATTGTTGTTAGTGTGCTGTTAATGGAACAATGGTAAACAAATACTGTTGTTGTTATTCCAAATATTGTTTTGCGTTGTAGATGTTTTTTTTTTTTTTTTTTTTTTTTTTTTTTTGTCGATGGAATTTCACCTGCTGGGCTTAACAATTTGTGCAAAAATAAAAAAAATGGAATGAGAAATTATGGCTATTCTGTGGCAAAGGACATAGCCACAGAGTTGTAGTTTTAATTCGAGATTTTCAAATATTGATTAACTGTTTTTATACCCTACACCACATAGTGGTAAGGACATTATGTTTATATACCCTCCACCATAGTATGGAAGGTATATCAAGTTTGTCATTCCGTTTATAACACCTCGAAATATACATTTTAGACCCCACAACGTATATATATTCTTGATCAGCATAAAATTCTATGTCGATTGAGCGATGTTCGTCTGTCTATCCGTCTGTCCGTCTGTGGAAATCATTCTAGCTTCCGAAAGAAATGAAGTAAGTTGATAAAAATTTACTCAAATGTGTATGATGTCTAAAGGACTTTTGGTATTTAAAATGGGTCATGTAGGTCCACGTCTTCGTATAGCCCCCATATAACGGAACCTCCCGATATGCGGTATTTTGATGAATATAGCGACATTATTTACCGGAAATGTTTCAAATTTGGTATTTGAAGTTCGTAATGGATACTACAGATTATGACAGAAAATTGTCTGTATAGGTCCACGTCTTCGTATTGCCCCCATATAACGGTACCTCCCAATATTCGGTATTTTGATGGGGTTATCGTCATTTTTCACCGGAATTGTTTCAAATTACTTATTTAGAGTTCGTAATGGGAACTGCAGTCTGTGACACAAAATTGTCTATGCAGGTCCAGGTCTTCGTATAGGTCCCATATATCAGTACCTCCCTATATTCGGTATTTTGATGAGTTTAGCTGCTTTATTCACTGTTTATTTCATGTTTCGAATTTGAATATTGTAAAGGCTTATGACAAACAATGCTTATGTAGGTCCACGTCGTATAGACCTCAATATAACGGCTATATTCGGTATTTTTAAAGTTTTAACAGAATTTTTTTTAGGATTTTATTTTTTGAAAAATTTTTTAAATTCGTTTCAAATGGTGGAGGGTAATCAAAGTTCGGCCCAGCAAATGATGAGCTTTAATTGGAAGCGAGGGAATGTTCCGAAGAATTTGGCCAATTTCGTACCTGTTATAAATATGATATAAGTAACACAACGTCTCATCTTTGACTTCTTTCTGCATTATGAAATATTTAAGCATTTTTGTAAGATCTTGAAATGTGCGTGAGTTGCCAGTGGATCATATTCCACTTCATCTCATTTATTTCCAATTCAATGCGAATAATTGTAAATCAAAAATTCAAAGTTTTCGTGGCGGTACCGGAAAGAAAGTTGGCAAAACAATTCCATATCTATGGGAGGTAGCAGAAAGAGTGAACCGATATATCACATCGTCATACCAGATCTTTTGTTATAAAAATGTTGGGATTTGTGAAATTTGAAAAGATTCGGATGCTTTTTTTATAAGAGATATAATTTCTCAAATTTTTGACCTGTTATTGGAGAAGGAGTGGTCCGATTTTTTTCCATCTTTACACCTGGTCTTGTGTTGAAACAAGTTTAAAAATAATCGGATGCACATTCTGTGTTTTATAAGCTTCATTGTTATTCAATATATTAATCACTTTGTGGGGAAGGTACCAGAAGTAGTGGACCGACATATCTCATCTTCACAACAGATCCTGTGGTATCATAAATTTTTAAGGCGTGTATAATTTGAAGAGAATTGGATGCTCATTTCGCAATTTACAAGAGTTATAATTATTACAGATTTTGAACATTTGTGGGAGAGGTACTTGATGAAGTGGGCCGATATTGTAATTTTCGCTTCCATCCTAGCACTGACAAAAATATTGAGATTTGCAAAGTTTTGGACAAAATCGAATGATTTTTTCTCTTTCTATGAGGTGAATTATTTTCATTAAAAGTCATGGCTATTTGCGGGGGAGGAACCAGAAGGAGTAGATTGTTGCTGCACATTTTATAAGAATTATAATTATTTAAAACTAGCTGGCCCGGTCCGTGTTGCCGTAATTTTCGAAAATACGTTTCCTTTTTCTAAAAACTTATATTATTATTAGTTTAAAAACTATGGCTAAAATATAAAAAAAATCGAAATCGTGGAATACTCGTACATGGGGCTATACCAAATCGTAGACCAACATGCCCCTTTTTGTGTACAAATGATTCTGCATGTAACCCCTAGGAATGTATCAAAATTAAAACTCTAACGCAAATTTTGCGAAGTTTAGAGAAAAATATTTGAGGCCCTTTGTGTATAGTTAAGGCTATATAATGGGCCCTAAAAAGTTTGGCCTGGGAACCCAAAACCCTTTCGAGATTTTGAGCTTCTAACCGATTACTATTCTCCTAGAATTTTCCAACCCCACATTGGGTGCTGCACAATGCCATTATTACTGGCTATTGCACCGTATAAAGTTACCTGTAATTTAAAAATTTCTTGAAGATTTCAGAAAATTTTTCGGAATTCTTTTCTCACTAAATGTTCATTTTGTATAGTCTGCATGCTGCAGTTCCTCTTTATATTCGGTATTTTACTGATTGCAGTTCCAATGAATTTCAAAAAATCGCCAATAAAGTTAATCAAATTGAAAAAACCTTTTGTACACGATAAATATTAATTTTTTCATATCTTATTCTCTTCAGAAATGAAATTTCTTGTAGTTCCGTTCTCGCTTTATACTATCCAAAACAGGCTACACATCATATTAGAATTCAAGAGTTATCGAGCACACCACCCAGACAGAATGACGGACGGACTTCGCTAGACCAACTCTAAATTTCCTGAAACGGATTTGGTCCAAAGAGAACAAGGGTCTAAACCCGTTATTTCGATGGAGCACGGTTTGGCCGTATCAAATGATATATACCTAGCCATATGGCTGAGGGTATAAAAATCCACGTAAATTGTCCTTGAAAAATGTTCCAAAATCTTTGACGCTGGCCCCAATAGGCCTCAAAAATTACATGTCGATGGATTTTATAGTATTTTTCACAGCTTTTTTAACAACACTGGCGGGGTCAAAAGACTAAACAATTGATTCCAAAATTATCTTTTTATGGTTTGATAATTATGAAAATTATTCTTAAAAAATCTACGGTTATATCACTAATAGTCCTCGAAGTAATACACGTTGAAGACTCTAACATGATGTATAAACTAGCCTTAAGACATATGTTCAACGTTCGACACTCATTATAGCCTACACCACATAGTGGTAAGGGTATTATGTCTTTGTGCAATTGTTTGTAACATGGAGAAGGAATCGAGATAGACCCATAATTATTAGTGAGGATCACTTTCTGTCGGTCCGTTCATGTACTCTTGTGAACAAAATGCAGGTCGCATTTATTATCCAATTAAGATGAAATTTTGCAAACCCTATTAAAATTGGTGATAATCGGATCAGATTTAGATATAGCTCCCATATATGTTCAACCGATTTCGGGTAATTTGTCCACCAAATGGCCAATTTTGGCACTTCCAACCGAATTCAGGCTAGAAGCAAATACGTCAAACTTGGTAAAAATCGGTTCAGATATAGCTATATCGCCCATATACATGGTGAAATAAAAAAACTGCAACAAAGTCAAACGCCATAATTTTTACAATTTTTTTAAATTTCATTGAATGAAAGCAAAAAATATCGGAAATAGCATTACATTTTAGAATAATTGAATCGAATTGATCACCTTTGGCACGAATTATGTTGTTCTGCGGTATTTTGGCCCATTCCCGGCGAAGCGCTTGCTTGAGGTGATCGACACTTTGGTATTTTTTAGTGCCAACCTTCAAAAATATTTCAGACACAATTGTGTAACGGATTGGTATCCGGAGATTTTAGTAGCCATTGTGCACTAGAAATGAAGCGAGAAACCTCATTTTGTAACAATTTTTGGGCGGCGCGTGCTGAGTGCGATGGTGCTGAGTCCTGTTGGAATGTCCAAGGTCTGTAGCCAAAGTGTTTGCTTACCCACGGCTTTAATACACCCTCCAGAATATTTTCGCGATAATATTCTGATGCTACGATCGATTAATACGAGCGAAGAGCGGCCATCGGCTGTTACGGGAGCCCACACCATCACCATGGCCGGGTTCTGGTGGTGCACATTTTCAGCTGACCTCCTTGGCAAGTAAACACGATAACTTTGTTTGTTTACAAACTTCTGGACAACGAATATTTTCTCATCGGAGAAAATCAGATTCGTCAGCTCACCACTTTCGGCCAAGCGAAGTAACTATTTAGCCCTTTTGAGTGTATTTTCTTTCTGT